GGGGGTTGAAATGAAAAAAAGGGGGGGGAGTTGACCACAAAGAGGGGGGAATTGGGGGAAACGTGAAATTGAGCCACAAAGGGAAAGGAAATAGGCCCAAACCTGCATGAAACAGCCCCAAAGTGGGGGAAACCGGTCCCAAAGTTGGCAAAATTGGTCACAAAGTGGGTGAAATCAGCCCCAAAGTGGAGAAAATTGGTCCCAAAGTTGGCAAAATTGGCCACAAAGTGGCTGAAATCGGCCCCAAAGTGGGTGGAACTGGGCCCAGAGTGGATGAAATTGGGCCCAAAGTGGGTGAAATCAGGCCCAAAGTGGGGGAAATTGGCCCCAAAGTGGGCGAACTGGACCTAAAACTCCGCTCTGGAGTGGGGGAGAAATAGCTCATATTTGGTGAAATTGCCCCCCCAAACTAGGAGAAACTGACCCAAAACCAGGAGAACTGACACCAAAGTGAGCGAAAATGGTCCCAAACTGGGTGAAATAGGCCCAAAGCTGAGGTGAAACTGACCTGGAATGGGGTGAAACGGACCCAAAATGGGGGCCCAGGCGCCGGATTCACCCCACACGTCGCGGTTGTGCTGTGGGTGTTTATTGTCCATCTTCAGCCGCGTGTGCCCAGTGCCGCGTCCCCCCCCAACTGCCCCACGGATCGTCCCCGAACTGCCCCATGGATCCTCCAAACAGCCCCATGGATCCTCTCCCAACTGCCCCATTGATCCTGCCCCAACTGCCCCGTGGATCCTCCCAAGAGCTCAACCAAACTGCCTCATAGACCCACAACTGCCCCCTGACTTGCCCCAGAGACCTCTGATTTCCCCCCAACCTGCCCCATAGACCCTTCTAGACCCAAAGCCTGCCCCACAGGCCCACGATTGCCTCTCAGCTGGTCCCAGAGACCCTCCCAACCTTCCCCAGAGACCCCTCAGACCCATAAGCAGTTCCATAGACCCTCCAACTGCTCCCCAACCTTCTCCAGGGACCCCCCTCTGAGTAATAACCTACCCCTGAGACCTCCAACCTGCCCCACTGATCCCCCAACTACCCCTCACCCCCCTTCTCCCTGTACATACAAAGCCTTTGGCATGTGCAAGCATGAGGCACTCTATGCTATGGGACACCTCAAGGGTCCCATGTATGCCTCCACGTGTCCCTCCACCATGACCATCTCGGTGGTGCACCCCATCCAATGGCACCCGTGGAATGTTTTTGTGGTGGTCATGGGGTGCCCATTGGACCTCTGTGGGGCACCCCACACCATGAGGCACCTCAAGGGTGCCAGATCCCCATGCACGAGGCCCCGAAGCACCACGGAGCACCTTGAAAAGCACTTCAGTTGTGCACCCCATCCAATGGTTCACCCGTGGAATGTTCTTGTGGTGGTCACGGGGTGCCCATTGGACCTCTGTGGGGCACTCCACACCTTGAGGCACCTCAAGGGTGCCAGACCTCCATGCATGAAGCCCTCAGTGTGAGAGCACCTTGAAGACCACCTCAAGGGTGCACACCATCCAATGGAATGTTCTTGTGGTGCTTGTGGGGTGTCCATTGGACCTCTGTGGGGCACCCCACACCATGGGGCACCATCGGTGGTGCTGAGGGGGGGCCGTGGTGGCCTCACCCGAAGAGGCGGAGGAAGCACGGCTGGCAGTAGGGCTTGCCCTCCTGCTCCTGGAAGGTGCCCTTGGAGAGGGGGCGGAGGCAGAAGGCGCAGACAAAGTGCTCAGGGTGGAAGCGTTGGGCCATGGCAGTGACGCAGCGGCCAGCGATGGGTTCCCCACAGCCCCGGCACAGCGAGCCCCGCCGGGCATGGAAGTGCCGCTCGCAGTAGGGGTGGCCACCGTCCTCGAAGAAGCTGCCCCCAACGAAGGGCGCAAAGCACTCCTGGGGACAGGGACACGGGAATGGGGACATCAGGGACCAGGAGAGGTGGGGACAGGGCATGGGAAATGCTCCTGGAGATGGGACACGGGGACGTGAGGACATCAGAGACCAGGAGAGGTGGGGATGTGGGATGTGAAGTGCTCCTGGAGGTGGGACACAGGGACGTGGGGACATCAGGGACCTGGGGAGGTGGGACGTGGGGACATCAGGGACCAGGAGAGGTGGGGATGTGGGATGTGAAGTGCTCCTGGAGGTGGGACACAGGGACGTGGGGACATCAGGGCCCTGGGGAGGTGGGACGTGGGGACATCAGGGACCAGGAGAGGTGGGGATGTGGGATGTGAAGTGCTCCTGGAGGTGGGACACAGGGACGTGGGGACATCAGGGACCTGGGGAGGTGGGACGTGGGGACATCAGGGACCAGGGGAGGTGGGGATGTGGGATGTGAAGTGCTCCTGGAGGTGGGACACAGGGACGTGGGGACATCAGGGACCTGGGGAGGCGGGACATGAGGACATGGGGACATCAGAGACCAGGGGAGTTGGGGACAGGGGTGGTGGTGGGGGGGTCTCACCCGGCAGACGAAGCACTCGGGGTGCCAGAGCCCCTCCAGGGCGGCGATGTAGCCCTCCAGGATGGGCCGCCCGCAGCCCCGGCACCGGCGGGGGAAGAGCTCAGCAAAGTCCTGGCGGCAGTACTGCTGGCCGTCCTTCTCCAGGAAGCCTGAGGGACACCATAGGGACAGTGTGGGGAGGGGGAGGCGGTGGAGCGAGAGGGAGGTGTGGGGACATAGTGGTGGGGCTGGTGAGACATCGGGACATGGGGGATGCAGCCAATGGTGGGGCTGGGATAGAGAAGGAGGGAGGTGGGGATGTGGGGTGTGGGGATGGTGGTGGGACCAGCCTGGGGCTGGGGAGACGTGGGGACACAGGGACACGGGAGCATGGGATGAGGCCACAGGGACACGGGGGGACATGGGGGGACATGAGGGGATCTGGGAGGACAGGAGGGGACAGAGTTGGGGGGGACACAGTGGGGCCACCAACCCTCTTCGCCGAAGGGCTGCCCACACTTGACACAGCAAAAGTGCTCCGGGTGCCAGTTCTTGTCCAGTGCCGTCACCATTTTCTGTGGAGTGGGGGAGATGGGGACATCACTGCCAGCCCCTCCTTGGGGGTCCCAACTGTACCCCATGGGGTCCCATGGCCCCCCAGAAGGTCCCACCACCCCCAGGGCGCCCCAGAAGGATGCCATGGCCCCCCAGAAGGTCCCACCACCCCCAAGGGTACCCCAGAAGGTCCCATGGCCCCCCAGAAGGTCCCACAGCCCCCAGGACCCCCCAGGTGGTCCCACCTCCCCCAAGGGCACCCCAGAAGGACCCCATGTGCCCCCAGAAGGTCCCACCACTCCCAGGGCACCCCAGGGCCCCCCAAAAGGTCCCCATGGCCCCCCCAGAAG